GAGGGGTGATCGGTAACCGGGGAGGTGGTCCCGCCTCAGCGCCTGTCGCCTCTCCCGCAGCTCTCGTGGCGCTGTCCTTCAGCGGAGCCATCGGGCTGACCTTCCTCATGCTGGGCTGCGCCCTGGAGTACTACGGGTGAGCGGGCGGCTTCCTTTCCCCCCTTCCCCCCCTTTGTATGTGTTAATTGAGGCGTTCGTGGAGCTGTGCGGCTCTGGGTGTCCTCCGGCTGTCACCTGCCTTCTGCCTCTTGTCACACGGCAGCGTGCCGTGATTAAATATCCCCTCCTTAGCCAGTGCTTGCAGCTCTATTAAAAAATGACTGAGAACACTGGTGTACTTTCTCGGGACAAGCACTGCCGTCTTCCTAAACACTCCTTTTTAACCTCGCACAGTTCTTTCCTGCACTTCCCTCTTCTTTAAACACCCCTCCTACCGCAAGGCTCCGCCTGGGATGTCTGTTATGCTTCAAAATCCAGAGCACTCAGCGAGGGCGTGCCTGCCCGGGCGGCTGGTTTATACCGCAGGATCTCTGATTTGAGACAGCTCTTGGTGCCCATCCCGCTCGCCTGTGTTTCCTCTTTCCTGCGTGGTGACTGTCAGTGTTGGGAGGCGGCAGTGTGAGTTGAATCAGCAAGGTGATGCAAGTGTAAAATAAATTAACACTTGGTCGGGTGAGAGGGTGGATCCTGCTCTACACGAGGCTGTAGGAGTGATCCGGTACGCAGGGAAAACCAGGTGGGATCGTCCCTCAGAGTGACAGCTTGTGCTTAGATCCCATCACCCACTTCTCAAAGCATAAAATAGAACTACAGCTATCGCAATTACTTTTTCTAAACAGAAGATACTTTCTATTCAAGTATCCATGTAAACTGATTGTGTGTTCCTTTTCCCTCCCTCTCCAGTGTATACTGGCCTCTGTTTGTCTTAATATTTTACTTCATCTGCCCCATTCCCCACTTCATTGCCAAAAGAGTAAGTGATGACAGTGATGCGGCCAGCAGTGCCTGCAGGGAGTTGGCGTATTTCTTCACAACTGGAATTGTTGTTTCTGCCTTTGGATTTCCTATAATCCTTGCACGGGTTGAAGCGGTAAGTTTTGCTTGCTAATTTTTATTATAAAACACCAGTTACTGAGTATAATCTGAGTATAGTAAACAGGGCACTGTTGCTGTGTGTAAATCCTGTCTTTAATTTCATTATTGTGATGTTTCTAGCTTCTGAATAAAATAACCACTTTGCTGAAATTTTGTCAGTCAGTGCTGCTTTTTGACCTGAACAAAGGACTAACATGACTGAAGAGCTTTTAGCTTGATTTTTTTTTTTCCAGTTTTGTTTTGGTCCAGTACAAGGTACTGTTTCCCCCCTACGTGTCACGCCTCTCTGTCACATCAGCTTTTGCACTGCTTCTTGCACCACCTTCCTTATGTTTGTCTCGGAATGTCTCCTTTCTCCATTTAGGATGCTGAAAACTTGGTGACTGGAGTGCATTATCAGTTAAACGATAAAAGGCCAAACTTCCAGAGCTGCCCTTCTGGTTTTCAGAGCATTTCCCAAGCTCGTGCTTTGTCCCCTCGAAGTCTGAGGAGATTCTGCTAGTTCCTTTTTTCTTTGCTTTCTGAACTGCTCTTCAGTGGTGAGATTTTGTTGCTTTTGTTTTGCAAGGCAAAGAACTCTTTTGTCCTCTCTCCCAGACTATCTAGTGATGTTTTTATGTGTTACATTGGTTTTTTCCCTTCAGTCTTTCAGTTTTGCTTAAAGCTTGTGTGCTTAGTTTTATTTTGTTTGTAATGCACATTTGCGCTGATGCTGCATTTTTATTTTTAAGTTGTGGACCTGACAGTAGGCAGAGCCAGAAGTGACCACGAGGGGGAACTCTAATTTATTGATACATCTTTTAAGAGTAAATGTTGCTTATTTGAGTAAACTTAGTGGGGCAGATCACTAAAGAAACCACAGGCTGTTTTCCATGCTCGTTACTGGCATTTATTTGAAAGGTGATCTTTTATTTTGTTGCATAGCAATTAAAGTAGAGCACTAGTTTCACCAGATTTTTTTTTCTATGGCTTAGGTATGTTTTAGTGACTTGTATGGTAAGGTAATTACTGTGTTCTAAAATGTAGCATTAATAGCCTGTCTGTTAAGTCTTGTATTAATAATATGAGTGGTTCTTTGTCTTTTTTCTTTATCCTTTTAGCACCTTTCTCTGTAGTATTTAACTTAGTTTATCTAATGCATATGAAGAACTGGCCTGAACCTATGTTATAAGAACTGCTCTGATTGTTTCGTTTCCTTGCGTTTCAGATCAAATGGGGAGCCTGTGGTCTGGTGCTGGCTGGCAATGCAGTCATTTTCCTTACTATTTTAGGCTTTTTTCTCGTATTTGGTAGAGGAGATGACTTTAGCTGGGAACAGTGGTAGGACATCGCTCTGGTGCTGGTAATATTTTACAGTATGTATCACTATATATATGCTCTGTGTGTGTATATATTATAACATGTGTGTGTGCACGCTGAGATGTGTGTATATGCATATGCTAGTGTTACATTATCAGATCGTAACAAGGCGTTTCAGCCCAAGGGAAAAGGCCCTTGTGACACCTGTCTTCATGTGTTCAGTAAAAGCTGGAATCAGCATTGCAAATTTGTCCCTGAACAAGTTTACAAAACAGAAGCTGTTTTACTCATTGTTTCACTATACATGCATTAACTTTTGTTTTAACCACACTAGTATCATGCGTGTGATACTGGTCAGCATGTCTGTTGGTTTTTTAACTATGTAATCAAAATAGGCCGATATAAAGATTATCCTACTTTTCATTTGAGTAATTGTATTTTTAGTGTTTTTGCTTGATAACATAAAAACAAACATAGCTTACGTCAACTCTTTTACTAGCTAATGAAAGAAAAAGAAAATAGCCCTGGTTAAAAATCCTTCCTTCTACTTTACAGTGTTCATTTAAAAAAATAATTCCCCTCCAAAGATACTCAGGCTTTCTTCCTATTGAACTTAAAAACTGTGGATATATTTTGGGAATAATATATCTTAAAGCCTCTTTAATGCCTGGAGCTGACATTTCTTCTTTTGTGAACCTTCATAAGAGAAGTAACTATGCTCAGGACACTTACAATCACAATGTAGTGTACAACTCGGTGTTCTTATGCATTAAATGCCTGAATTGCAAAGAAGTGAGTGTTCTGCTGGGTAGGACTTGTTATCTCCTCAGTTCTTATTGCTTTAAAAGCATACTTATTCAACTACTATTTTTTCTGTCTGTAAGAAGTGACTGTTATATTAAAACACTATATTTTAAAATGGCATTATCCTTGTAAACATTCACATAATCGCACTTACGAAAGTAAACTTTATTACTGTTTAGACTTTCTGAATCCTGCAAATTGTGGAGGCATGTAGTTTTGTAAAAATGCATTCTGATACAACCCTGGCTCTGGAAGACATTTCAGTGATCTGCAAAGGGGTAAAGGAAGAGACACCTTAGTTTATTCTTTCATAGAAAAATGGACATCAAGAGGTTTCTGCTCTGTGAAGTAAGAAGCTGAATTCTTGCGTAGGGTATGTTTTACTATTGCAAGTTCTTCTGCATGAGTGTTTTCTAGTTGTATGAGTTAGTTCACAGCTGGCTGCTATCACCTTGTACAGCTATGAGGGACATTGTGTAAGGAGGTAACAGAACCCACCCTACAAGATGTGGTAGCTTCACCAGCACAGTGCTTTTTGCCCTCTGAGTTGTACGGAACTACTCACGCAGCTCTCCAAACTCTCTCAGTACTCGTGTACTGCAAGATGGTGTCCTGTGGATTGCTGCGTAGAGCAAAGGTTCAAAAAGGAATGAATGTTACATGAGCACTCTTGTTCATGCTCGGTGCCCTAGAAGAAGGGTACAGAAGTCATTCTGTGGTTCAAGTAATGTAATATCACTCGAGTAGGAACGGAATATCATGTTTCGGGAAGGGTGATTACATGTTTTAAATGTAAACTTCAGATGTGTGTAAGGTGAACAGTTCAGTGCTGAGGAATGCTGAGTAGCTGTATTGTATACTGAAGTGTGGCTAGGGTGTCACTCTTGTAAAAGAAGAATTAACATTAAATGACAGTTTTTTCTGGATGTTAATGCTTCATCAAAGATAGCAAGAATATACTTGTAAAGACGCTGTGCATAAACAAGTTCTCTTGCAGTGTCTTCCTGCCTTCAGGTGAAATCTGTTGGACCTTACTGATTTGTAAAGTACTGCTGTGGAAATTACTTGTTCTAATTATGAGCCGGGTGTTTAGAGAAATCGTAGTTTCCATGTGTAAGTCCTGCTTTGATTTTTTTTTTGAAGAAGAAGAAGAAGTTGTCTTTTTTTTCCTATACCATGGCATTTGTCATTCAAATTGATGAAGTAAAACAGCAACAATAATACACAATTTAAGTGCCTGATCCTGTAAATGCCTAAAGTCATTGCTCACAATTCTGTTTAACTCCTGTTAAAATACTTGTCTGCTTGCAAGGTTAGATTCTTGAGCATTTTTACTTCTTACAATTTATGTACTGAAGACTGCAATAGACGTCTACAAAATACTCAGCTACTCACAAAATTTTGCTTTCAAGATAGTGGTGTGAAGAAACAGCTGAGATTATTATTTTTTTTTAAATTAGGGAATTATTATTTGTAGAATCTGTTCTAGATCTATGGGTAAATAGTGTTCTCATGGCAGGTTGGGATACAGGCAGTAAACATGTGACAATCTAAAACGAAAAGGAGGGCTAGAAAGTAGAGTCCTGAGGAGAGGTTGCTTCTTTGACAAATTATTCTCTTGTACTGTATTTCTTTTCCTTTACTGTAGTTGGTGGGTAACTCATGAAATGACAGGTAAATGTTGGATGCAGAAAGTCAATGCTTTTTTTTTTTTTTTTTCCTTCTTTTGAAGCAGCTATATGCACTAATCCTTAATGTGAACTTCATGCAGTTTTTACCATGGACTTCTATTTTAAAATGTTTAACTTTAAAAATAGTGTTTAACAGTGTTTAAATCATGGAAATCTTCCTTGACCGCTTTAAAAGTAAATTTGCTTGAATGAGTCTTCAATATCAAATAGGGTAAAAAAAAAAATCAGTGCTTTTTTTATCAAGAGCTTCACTCATTCACACAAACCTTCTGCTTCGATGGCCAGTACTGGGCAGACTGTCACTATCTACCAGTAGCAACTCACTGTGGTTTCTCTGAAATTGTTTTCCTATGTGCAAGCGAATACTGTGTATCCAAAGTGCCTTAATTTCAATACTGTGCAGATTTTGTGAGTGCATATACATGGCAATATCACTATATTTCATAATCGGGTGAAAATCTATTACTGCATTTTATAAAGCTTCCTTGTCAACTAATCATGTTTTCTGTAATTCGGAATGCAGCTTTTATAACTTTTGTAAACACTATTTTTATTTTCTGTGATTGCCAGGTTCTTGAGAGGATAAAGCATTAAAATATGGAAATTAAAACATGTTCTACTTTTCTTTTTGAATTGTTTAATAAAACTGACTTTTTGAATTGTCTAATAAACATATCTGATGCTTAAGTATTTGTCTGTCTTAAATTTCAAGCAGTGACAACAGACTTGTGGGAGAGGAAAGAGAAGAGAAACACCGTATCCAGTGGTGCTTTCATACTGGTACTGTAGCTGTCAGGTGCGGCCACAGGAGGAGGTTAATGAGCAGTTCAAGTGTCTCTTTTAGTGGTGTTAATATTTCTTAATTGCTTTGGAGTGAAATGGGGTCTTCAAGTAGACTCTCAGTATTGGGACCCTTGGGGACTCTTGCCAAGTTCTTTCTCTCAAAGCTCCTTCACATCTTTTTCTGGAGATAAAGTGCTTGTGGTCATTGGGAAGGTCAGTCAGCACTGATGAGATCAAAACACAGGGGAACAAATTTCAGAAGCCATCATCTAATTGCAGTAGGTGGTGGAATTACTGTTATGTAATCATTGTCGTAGAGGTCGTATTCAAATATGCAGGTAAATTATCATCACGTATCTCATGTACATGTTAGATCTGTGAGCTTTTTAAAGGTGTCCAAAGAAAGATGGTATGTAAGATAATATTTGACCTCTTCCAGTTTCCTTGCTTCAATAACGTCTAGAGTAAGACACATCTGCTGTGTCTCCTGTGAATGCAGGAGGCATCAAGGCTTGCTTTCTTTTCTAGGTCAGTTCTCCTGTAGTTATGTTGGTGAGTATATGAAGTGGGTGATTTTGATCCCACCATTGCTTGTGAAAATGAAGCCTGCTCAGTTATTTTAATCAATTTGTGAAAGCACCCACCATCAGGAGAAGGCTGTAGTGTCTGTGTTCTGAATAGCTGATGCTTTCTGTTTATAGCAATGATTTGAGCAACTAAGCTTTGGAGAAGGTGAGTATTTTTACACTCTGAATCACTTAGCTGTTGGCTTTGCCCTGTTTTGCACAATGAACATTTGGGATTGCTGTTCTGTACTGTCTAGCCCAACTTCAGGCTCTGGGCTTGCTTCCTGAACTCCCTTATTTAACCTCATTCTGGATTTGCTAGTATTATCTGTACGGTATGTTTAATTTCCTATGCCTCCCACCCTTGTAGCTGTTTCTGTGGTTAATGGAGCTGTTCCCTGTCAACTTACACTTAGCTGGAGGAAAAAAATAAAATATACGTAGGGGGTACTGGTCACAGTCTTGCACAGGTATTGTAGTCTGCTCAGTCCTTTAAGAAAGCTGGTAACCTCCCTAACTAGTTATGACCTTCGGTAACTTTCTAAAAACTTTAAACAGGCTTTAATCCCATAAGATGAATGTAAGCTCGTTAATATCCGGGAGTTAAGCAAACAAACTTGTCCTAGGAAGCCACATGTAGATTTTTATTGTTAAACTGAAAATTATGTAAAGCTCTAAAATGATCTCTATAACCCTGACCTCAGTTGTTAACACAGCATGACTTTTAAGATACTACATCATTTACTCTGCAGGGATTGTTTCTGATCTATGATAACGGATGAAAAGACTATTTCATTAAGCTGGATGCACACCAGGTCCTAATGACTAATTGATTTAAGTGGCCCCTGCAAATACACGACCAATGTGTACTAGAGGGCGTCACAGGGAAGTGTCTCTTGATAAAACATGTAAGGAAGCATTGACGGGTGAATTGTGATTACATTTTAAAGATCAGCTGGATGCTCTTAGAGAAACATTTTCTCTGGTGGCCTGTTCCTATATTTATATCTTGTTTTATTGTTTTGCTTTTGCTCTTTGTGTTGAGGTCTGTTTCAGCTGTGTCTCTGGGTTATTTTCAAAAATTGGTTACAGTTGTTTATGGGCCATGACTAGCACTTCAGCTGGAGGTACTTCACGTGTTTTTTTTGGAATTACTACTTTCCATAGACTAGTTCTAGATT